GGCTCCTTTCCTCTACTTTTGTACACAACCTTTTTATCAGCCACATCACTTTTAGGACGTGAGTGCAAGCTGTAGAATGAGGTTCGCTTGAGACCAGAGGCATCAGGGTCTGAACCTCTGTTGAACTGCGAAGGAAACTCCTGAACAGAAGTGTCCTCTACAGAATCCGTGTTCAAGGATGATAGGTACCGTTGAACTCCAGGTTGCGCATTGCCGTCTTCATCTTCGTCCTGTTCGTGACTGTCTCTTTGATCTTCCCTGTGCTGTTCACGATCATCGGGAAGGAACTCCCTGTAAACTTTGTGGCTCTCGGGTTCATGGGCAACGGAAAAAAAGTAATTGGCCCTCACACTGCGAACCATTCTGTCCCCTGGATCCATCATCTGACTCGTGTTGTGTTCACCTCTTTCGGGTTGGTCATCAAGTTCCATTGAGTGGGCTGCCTTGTGAGAATGATTGATGACCGGTTCTCCTGCGGACACGGACTCGTCAATGGCTTCCGGATCAGGGTTGAACTCCGATCCTAGGTCGAGGTTCACGAGGTCCTCGAACCACTCCTCGGAATTGCCGTCCTCGAGGTTTGTGGCGAAAACCATGCGCGACAACACGCATGCTGCCACACAAAGGCCTGCCATTTGTGTCCTCATGTTCAATCGGTGCTCCCGGCTGCGCCGAATGTTCGGCAGATAATTATTCGCCGCCACTAACGAACCACTAACTAACACTAAGCTGCCCCCCAGCGATCTCCAGATATTTATAAGCCAGTACTATCGGGGTCTTAGTTAACGTTTGCCGAGCTATTCCGTTTGATAAGCAAGTACCGGTGTGCTTTTTCCCGTGATACATATTGGATAATGTAGAGCGGTCAGGACGTAACTGCTGATGGCGTCTTACGTAGGGTAGATGGTAGTGCGCGAAACGGCCAAGATTCGATTACGAGGCCGATTCGATGCGGTCAGTGAACGCTGATCTCGACTTTCGATCCCACGATAGGAGATCACTGAGAACGGCCAGGATGGAGCCTGCTTCTCAGCAAAATCTCAGACCCGCTGCAGCCTCTTTTTCACCTGGTGGAAGTCGGGCGATCCTCCAACTCGAACGGATCGATCGGCTAACTCGGGCTTTTTACCCGGGAACGCCACTGTTCCTATTTCGTAACGGGCTAATCGATTTCCCTCTCAATAATTTATTGCTTCCATCCGAACTGTGACATTTAGGAATTTCACACGGTGCACTGTCAAGCGCTGGAGAACGATTCCGGGTAAGTTGTTTTATGCTGAACGGGATCACTGGCTCCTGATATTGATGCACTAGAAGAAGGAACATTTCAGCTTCATCTGATACCAAACATCTTGACTGGTCCTGGTAGTTCTAGTGTTAAGGGTCCAACATCAGGAATTGTGTCTGGTCCTGGTAGTTCTAGTATCAAGGGTCCAACATCAGGAATTTTTACTGGTCTTGGTAGTTCTAATGTTAAGGGTCCAACATCAGGAATTGTGTCTGGTCCTGGTACTTCTAGTATCAAGGGTCCAACATCAGGAATTTTTACTGGTCCTGGTAGTTCTAGTGTTAAGGGCCCAACATGACGATTTTTGACTGGTCTTGCTAGTTAGTAATCTAGAGAATTTTCCGAGTTTTACTTCTATGTTCATATAATTATGATAGGTCTTATCCTTTTAAATATAAGAGTGGCACAAACACCACATCAGCTTTGCGCCAAAAGTTGGAATCAAGTGGCAAAACTGCCTGAGGTTGGCTTCATTCCGGATCGGAAAACACATGACATTGTATCCCGACCATTCAACACAATGGAGTATCGGGTTAACGACGCAAAGCGGGCGTTTCGATGGCTAATTAAAGAGCGACAGTTATACTAATCGGTGCAGGGTTATTCGATGTACACGTATACAGGTCCCATCGAAAATCCGCGTTTTCAATGGGCCGGTTATATGGACGCATTTCCCGTCCAGTTATGAAGCATCATAATTGGTCAGGAAAAAGGGAGTGCTGGTCGCTGGATGTTGTGTGGTGTTGTGCGGTGTTATATGGTGAAGGCTGAATAGCAGTTCGAGTTGCAGGACAGCTCTTCGTTGATGGCGGTGCGTTTCGATGGCTAATTAAAGAGCGACAGTTATACTAATCGGTGCAGGGTTATTCGATGTACACGTATACAGGTCCCATAAAAAATCCGCGTTTCCAATGGGCTGGGTATATGGACGCATTTCCCGTCCAGTTATGAGGCATCATAATTGGTCAGGAAAAAGGGAGTGCAGGTCGCTGGATGTTGTGTGGTGTTATGCGGTGTTATATGGTGAAGGCTGAAGAGCAGTTCGAGTTGCAGGACAGCTCTTCGTTGATGGCGGTGCTTCGCTTCAGTGTAATTCTCAATGCGTGCACCATTGTTTTCGGCACGCCGATCATGCGTAAAGAATAGCATTAATGATAAAATGTTCGTGAAAGTAAGGACATGTGTTAACGTTTAGCTTTCATCCCAATTTGACACCCATGCGTGTCATATCACTGTTTGATGGGAACACATGCCTCAATGGGTTACCATTAAAACGCACGTCATAGTAAAACTGTTTGTCTATTTCAATTAAATCTTCTCCCACGTGACAATTTTTGCGATCGATTAAAAGAACTGATCAGCATTTGGCTTTCATTGCTTTCATCCCAATTCGACACCCATACGTGTCACAAGATTGTCTGATGAGACTATAACCAAGTATCGTCACATGCTTCAATGGGTTACCAAGTGTAATTATTCCTGTGATACCAATTATCACAACACAGTTATGTCCATCTTTGGAACCTTATCCGATAAATGCAGATGGAGGTTCCAGCGAAAATCCGCGTTTTGAATGGGTCCTGTAGATGATCTCATTTCCCGGCCAGTTATGAGGCGTCATGATCTGCTGGAAAAAAAGAACGCAGATCGCCAGCCAAAATGGATGATATTGTGTGGCGTTATGTGGTGTTATATGGTGCCATGTTGGAAAGTAATGTACATCTTTGGAACCTTATCCAATAAATGCAGATGGAGGTTCCAGCGAAAATCCGCGTTTTGAATGGGTCCTGTAGATGATCTCATTTCCCGGCCAGTTATGAGGCGTCATGATCTGCTGGAAAAAAAGAACGCAGATCGCCAGCCAAAATGGATGATATTGTGTGGCGTTATGTGGTGTTATATGGTGCCATGTTGGAAAGTAATGTACATCTTTGGAACCTTATCCAATAAATGCAGATGGAGGTTCCAGCGAAAATCCGCGTTTGAATGAGTCCTGTGGATGATCTCATTTCCCGGCCAGTTATGAGGCGTCATGATCTGCTGGAAAAAACGAACGCAGATCGCCAGCCAAAATGGATGATGTTGTGTGGCGTTATGCGGTGTTATGTGGTGCCATGTTGGAAAGCAGTGCGGACCTGCAGAAGAGCTCTTCGGTAACGGCGGTGCTTCGGTTTAATACAATCCCTGCTAGGGTGGCCATTGTTTTCGACGCACAGGTCATTCATAAAGAATATCACTAATAATGAAGTACATGCGAGGGTCCGGTAGGCAATTACCGTATGATGGACCAATTCGGGAGGTTCCAGGTCCATTAATAAAAGCTCTCGAGGTTGGGGAGTCATGGTAGTCCGCTGATTTCCCTGATTTAGACCAGCAAATGTTGTTCCTCCTGTTGTTGACTCTGTTAAAGTCTGGGGTCGCTTGGCCGGGAATATATTGTGGTTGTACATTACATGGAATAGAATAATTTGGCTACAATTACTATAGGGACGTGGTTAACATAATGTGGTGGGTGAAACCACACAAATGGTGAAATTGATCACGTGGAATGGATACTTAAAAAATTTGAGAAACTGGAAAACAAATACGTAATTGTACGGTACTTGATGAGTGTATATTTATAATTTCAGGGAAATTTCATGCAAATTTTTCGTCAGGGTACGTTCTTTTTTAATGACATAAGGAAAGTATTTAACATTACAATTTCCCACGGGGTGATCAGGAGTTGTTGAACCTCGAAGCACATGTTTCTTATTGTTGGATTAGAACTCTCTAAATTTAGTGTACCGGAAATGTACCGACTGTCCGTGAATTTTTTACTCAATTCTGGAGGAAAACGGTGTTCTCACCGGTAACTAGTAAAAAAGTGCTGATTCAATCCGTGGAGAAAGACTCGTTACAGACATCAATAGAAAGTATTGATTCAACCGGCCTATAAAAGCTAGTCTATCATTGATTAGTTACTTAATAATAATTAACACCGTAAGAATTTCTATTATTAAATGATTTACATAGATTAGTGGAATGTACATATTTTTAAAGATCCCTGTATTTATTTAGCATTAAGTAACAGCGCAATACGAAATAAAGTTAATAATAGAAGTCATGTAATTGAAAATTAAAGCATTAACGAAAGAAATCTAACTGTTTAGTAGTGATAATCATAATATATTATAAAACTTAATATCTATAGTTATACGTAATCGTTATTTTACTCCTGCAACGATATCACAATTACACAATTATGTAGCATTACGTGACTTAAAAGAACGTGGACTTCTTGCATCTTTCACGGATGAGCGAGTAGGGACTAAAAATCCGTGAGCAATGCATGCGGTTTCCTCTGGTAACAGGAGAATTATTTTCTAGTAACTTAGTTCTAGAGAGTAAGTTGACACCGAATAACCAGCCGATCTCATATAAAATTAACTCTATATTTACAATGACTTGGGACAGCCAAAACAACCACACAAATGAAATGCATTCTCTCATCCCCATAACTAAAACCCACCCTTCCCTCAACACACCAGCAAACAATTCACTCTAAAATAATCCACACAAGCAACATGTTCGACATACACCGTAGGTAAGAATAAGGAAGTATGCAACAGTACGAAAAGATTTATTAAATCGGTGAAAGGTTACGACAAACAGTGAAAAACGGAAAACTATGAACAGAGTGTAAACTAAAGATGGCGTCGGTTGATGCGGCTCAGTGTCCCTTCTTGAAGGACCAGTGTTTATGGTCTTCGTGGCCGCCCTTCTTCCCATGGCTGCTGTGATGATGATGGTGTTCGTCATGTCCGTCGTGGCCCTTGTGTCCCTTGTGATCATGATGATGATGTCCCTTCTCGTGGTGTCCCTTCTTGCCATGGTCCTCTTCATGGTGTCCATGATGATGATGGCCCTTCTTGTGGTGGCCACCCTTCTTGTGGCCATGCTCGTGATGATGGCCTCCGTGGTTCTCGTGATGCCCATGGTCGTGGTGTTCGTCGTAGAACTCCTTGTCCTTCTTGTACTCGTCCAGCTTGTGCACCTCGTGGTGTCCCTTGGTGTTGTGGCCCTTGGAGAAGTGTCCCTTCTCCCCGTACTTGTGACCCTTCTCCCCCTTCTCGCCCTTATGGTGTTCCGCGTAGTAGCCATCGTCGTGGTGGTGGTGCTTCTTGTGGCCCTCGTCCTCCTCGTAGTGGCCCGAGTGACCCTCCTTGTCGTGGTGTCCTTTCTGGCCCTTCTCATGCTGATGGTGGCCCTTGTATCCCTTGTCTCCCTTCTCCCCATGGTGGGAATGGTGGTCGGAGTGCTCTTCCTCTCCTCCACCCTTCTCGTAGTGGTGTCCCGAGGCCGCCATCTCCAAGTCAGCATCGCGACGGACCCTGCTGATCTCCCGGGCCTCCACCAAGTGACCAATCAGGACCGCCGCCACCAGCAACAGCATCGTGTACGCCGTCATCTTGGTTCTCCGACCTTCCTTCGCAAAGTGGGAGTGTTTGATTGGACTGCCTTGTGCCTAGTGTGTCCCGACTGGCCAGCTCTCTCGGATTTTATATCGAACGCAGAATAATTGGGGATATTAGGGAAGCGGTGGTTCTTTTCTTGGCTCATTAAGTCGTTGCGAAAGAGGCGTCTCCTTAACCTGCTTAAATCGGCGCCTGAGTTTCCACCTAGCCAAGTTGCTAACCGAGGGCATTATGTAACCGGCTGAAATCACGATTGCTTGCTCAAACTACCTCCAGCTTGCCGTGACTAAAATCCTTTGAGGATCAGCGGAGGCGCCGTCGAGGCGAGCTGCTTCCTTCCGATTCCTTCCGCATAGCTCTTGTCACTGTCTAACTGGGACGACGCCAAGCCTGCGTCTTGATGCTGCAAATTGGGCGGAAATCTGGAGATATTATTGAAAGCATTGTTGCAAAATATACCATGCTGATATTTACGGAAACTAGGGACTGATAGGATTTCTTAAGGTGATATGAAAGTGAGACATATGCATAACAAACAGTCAATTTTGATCATTGGTCTAGGATCTCCCAATTTGATTGAAGCCTCTTGATTTGGTCAGGGGAGCTAAAATTCGATTTAGTCAACGGAAACGTTTTCTGAAACGAGCCTAACTTTTGTCTACATGCATTTCCGCCATTTCTCGGTGGCCATAGGGAATAATTGTTCAGAAAGAGTTGGGTGAGGTAAGAAATAACAAACAGAGGCAAAGGGAACATTCCAGGACGAGAAGGGCTGCCAAAGAACAGATCTACAGTGCGTTGGTCTAGGATCGCCTTGTCCCACTTTCCCGCTGTCCCATTTTCCCACAACGATAGGCTCTCGAGCGAGAGCCGTTGGGGGTTGAGAAAAACCAGCGACGCTCTCTTGGGCAACCCGAAGCTAAAATGAACAGCGGTTAAACGCCCGAGGATTTGTTTGCGAAGTGAGTTAACATTTTGCAAAAAGAGCCGACAACAGTCACCCGGGTGGAAGACGAAAAGTGGCCACGCGGGATCAGCACTGCTGGTGAAAATGCTCCTGGTTCCCATTTTCCTGGGACGTCCCGACAGAAACCGTAAAGATGACATATCGTCGCGTTATCCCGGAAGTGACAGCTCCTCGAAACTTGCGAAACCAGCTTCAAAATTAAGGCGAGATTAAATTGAGTCGAATTTAGAAATGGCTTCCATGCAGGCCAATTTCCATGTTGGGGTCTAATAGACCAGAGAGTCTAGCTACGCTCTGATTTAGAGAATTGAGGAAGATTTGTTCAGATACCTGTGACACGTTTTAATTTAATTGTAAATTATGAAGAACCACGGAAAGCGTCAAAGTCATATTGTATGACTTTTTAGTTCTGTATCCTAGTTCTACATGAAGAAGAGTCTGTTAAACTTGGAAGAGATCTGTAAGATGAACAGATTTTGAAATAAGGACACCAGATTATTTCTGTTAGGGTTATGACAAAGCGGTTGCTCCTCTAATCCGTGAAAAGTACAGATAAATATCTGTAACAACTGCTTATTGATAATTGGAAGGGCTATGGATAAATTAACGCTTAAGGTGCCGTGAAACGCGTCGAGGAACTTTTCTTGCCTTTATCCCGATTAAATTCCAGTTTCTCAATTACCAGAGTGTTCTAAATTGTCGTACAATTGTCCTGACCCTTTCGTTTCTCATATCAGAGTCTTAAATAACTGCATATCGATCGAAATATGAAAGCGCGACGGCATTTTGATTCTGGTCTAGCTTAAATTAAAAAGTTTGTTTAAAAAATCCGAAGTCTGAAAGCGTCAAGATGAAATTCAGTAAGTTTCTCTATAATTACGTGTTAAACTATTACAAACATTTTCACTTCCTGATACATATAAATGGCACTTTTCATTACACCTTAATCGCGATCAAGTCGGACGCTCGAGGAAGAACGGGTTAAGACCGCCATAAGTGAGGAAGACGACAAGAAGTGTGTAAATATGCTTGAGGTTTCCAAAAGTATCAGAATTCGGTACATAATCCGCCACTTTTAGTGCCCATTTACCTAAGACGCCGATAAGTGACGTGTCCTGGGAGCTCACCAAGACGCGGCTTGCGAAACCAGGAGTAAGGATCGCGAATAGGTCGGGCGCCAGAGGAAAAGCGATTACGTGTCCCCAGGACGTGGTTGTGTCAAGTACATGAATCGATGCCTAAAGCACGGGGAAAGAAAAATTCTTTAATGTATAACCGGCCAATTTAGTTTGGCCTTTTTCGCGCTTATAGAAGTCCGCAGTGGGTGTTCGCCAAGATGGCGTTTGCGAAACGAGGAATAAGGATCGTGAATGACTTGGTTACCCGGAGAAAAGCGATTACGTGCGCCCAGGAGGTGGCTGCATCAAGTATATAAAGCTATGCCTTAATCAGGTTTTCTCAGTTGGACTTGGCGTTGGGCTAACGAGGCACCAACATGGCCGCCGACAGCTCGTCCCGGCTGTGCCTCGCACTGTTGGTAGTCTGCACGATGGTCGCCATCGGATGGGCAAGGGAGATCAGGAGCAAGCGGGACCTGGAGGCAGCAGCCTCGCATCATCACCACGACCACCACGAGGACCATGGCGGAGGACACGAGCACCACCACGATCACCACGATGATCACGACGAGAAGGGCCACAAAGGACACCGGCACCACCACCACCATCATCATGGGGATCACGGCAGCCACGACAAGGAGCACCACGAGGGCCATCACCACGAACACGGCGGCCACAAGAAGCATCACCACGACGAGTCCGGGGAACACGACGAGCACCATGAGCATGGCCACGGCCACAAAGGCCACAAGCATCACGAAGACAAGGGCCACAAGAAAGGGGAAAAGGCCCATGGGTACCACAAGAAGGAGCACAAAGACGAGTACCACAAGGACCACGAGTTCTATGACGACCATCACAAGGATGGCCATCATGAGAAGCACGGGCACCATCACCATCACCATGGACATAAGGAGGGGCACCATAAGAAGGGTGGCCATCATCATTCCGGACACCACGACGACCACCACGGGAAGAAAGGACACCACGAGAAGGGCCATCACGATCATCACGATCATGATCATCATGGAAAGCATGGTCACGAGCATCACCACCATCATCACGAGGAGCATGGCGATAAGGACCATCATCATCATGGAAAGGAACATGGGTACCATAGCGAAGAAAAGAGTGGCCATCATCGCTGATCTCTGTATCCCGCATTGCAGTCACTGTTATTGTTTGTTGATATTTGTTCCTTTGTTGACTAGTGTTAATTTTGGGTCTACCGCAGAAATCTATCCCAACATTGATTTTAGTAATTAAATGAATTTACGTTACCGAGGAATCCTTGTGTCTTTTCCTTTACCTTCTGTTCAACGAACACGGATGCTCCTGGAAATATTTTTCATGACTTTTAGGAAATGCCAATGGACGTCTTTTGAACATGTTTTTACGAAGTGGATGAAGAATGGATTTCTGGTTTGAGTTCTTACGAATTAAAATGAAAACTAACGATAAGTAGCGAAAGTCTCTAGAATTTTGCGACACCTCATTTTCTTTTCCTTACGTGATATAATTATTGCAATCGCAGAGGTATTACCTAACACATGAAAAACCTTACTTTTCGCTGCGGTATATTATATATCATTTTGCACGTCGCTTTTAATATGTTCATAAATTATGGTTTTCAAAAGAGACATTCTTCGTTAAAAAGTAATTGAAGCTTTATTCAATTTTACTTGGGTCCTCAGTAATCCCGTCCGTGGTATAATTACTCAGCGTAGATTTCCACCAAATTGTCCGAGGTTCCAGTAATGGAAAGCAAACGTTTTCACGGAGTTCCCAGTCGTTTGCATTCGTAGAGACTTATCGGAAATCAAGGTGCCAAGAATAACAGAGCTTTGGGGGAACAAACGTGCGATTTCCAGCACGTGGTTGGACAACGTCCCACGTATCGGAAACCGCATCTAATTCCCGGATAATTTCTATTCCTAAAGAAAAACCATATTCTCCATCACAAACATAAAAATCAAGATGCACTATGCTAATCGTACAACAAGACATCGAATTTCCCACCCTGAGAGCAGTTATTACATATCCAGCAATTCATACTGCAGATTGAACCGCAGCCTATTCCTTTGATAATTCCGATCTTGTCAGAAATGGATGTTATTCAATTAGTTCCCATTCTCTGTACACTAAAGAACCCGAATTAACGTAACGCCAAATTGAATGTCTGCATCTTAAAGTTTAGGAATAGCAGAAATAACAATTTTTCAAGCATGAGGTGGTAAATCATCCAGGCGAGGAAATCAGTTATTAAACGTAGAAAGTGGTAATTCAGGTTGAGAGAATCTGTGGGAATTGTTTCCAGTTTTGGCAGGTAATTGCAGCGAGATAGAAACACTGAAACCGAGATTTTCGACGCTTTCCCGGCGAGCAAGGGTTAAGCCGAGTGGACCAATGAGAGGAGAGGTGGGAATGGCTTAACCCAATCCTAGAGCGGTCTAGAGGAGACGTCCATCAGCTCCACTTGCGCAACCAGCTTTATATAATGAATCGGCTCCTCGGAGCAGCGTATTACAAAACGGTTTGCTTAACAGAACGTAGCAACCATTGAGTGATAGCGATGCGAGCTGTGAAAGCGATAAAGCATAGCGGCAGCCAGAGGAAAGTCCTCCGGCCAAGCGCGATGTGTGCCCAGAAAAAGCAAGCTCTCTAATGCAACGCCAGGGGAAACTGAACCGATCTCTCCCACCAAAGCACGAAAGGATCAGGTGCGGGGTGGCAGGGGCTTTGTGCAAGTACCACCACCACGTGGGCGCAGGTGCAGCTGGCCGAAAAGTCAAAGATATAAATAATAGACGGCCCGCCAGGACAGGTGTCACATCTCCAGGGACGGCGCGAGTCGTACGCAGGTATCTGTCGGGTTGTTTGAGATACCTGCGCCAAACGGGCAGCTTGGTGCCTGGATCAGGTGGTCCAGGTAGGGTCCAGAGGACACAGGGGTGTGACGCCGGTATCCGGTCCAGCAGGACTCGAGTTTGGCAGGGATCAACCGGCGACTGAAGAGTTAGGTATTGTCGGACGTGATGGGGATGATAAGAGTGGACTCGTATTGGGTTGTGGCAGGTGATAATGGAGGAAAAGTTACAGGGAACTGGAGATGGCAGCCTTCTGGGGTGGATTCCCGGCCCTGGCGCTGCTCCTTGTTGGCCTGACGGTGATGGTCACCGCCAGAGACATCAGGAACCGCCGTGACCTGGAGACCGCTGCCTCGCATCATCACCATCACCATCATGAGAAAGGAGGCGGCGACGAGCATCACGAGGATCATCACGAACATCACGGAGAGAAGGGAGAAAAGGGGTACAAGGGCCACCATGAGCACGATAAGGGACATAAGGGGCACCACGACAAGGAGCATCATCATGGGCATCACGAGGAACACGGCGGGCACAAGAAGCATCATCACCACGATGATGGGTACCATGATGAACATCACAAGGGGGAAAAGGGGGAGAAGGGACACAAGTTCCACGAGAAAGGCAGCTATGGGAAGGGACATCACACGAAGGGGCATCACGAAGTCAAGAAGTTAGACGAGTACAAGAAGGATAAGGAGTTCCATGATGAGCATCATGATCACGGGCATCACGAGAACCACGGAGGCCACCATCATGAGCATGGACACAAGAAGGGACATCATCACAAGAAAGGGCATCATCATCATGGGCATCATGAGGATGACCACGGACACAAGGGTCATCATGAGAAGGGACATCACCACCACGATCACAAGGGACATAAGGGACATGACGGACATGATGAGCATCACCATCATCACCATAGTCATGGCAAGAAAGGTGGTCACGATGATCACAAGGAATGGCATTACCACCATGGCGGCAAACATTAATCCCGCGAGAAACCACCAGCTGACCTATGAAGCGACTTTGCCGAGTCGAACGCAATTTCTGTTTAGTAATTGCGCATGTCCTACCTGTTGTTATTGTTAATTTTGTTGACGACTATTGTTACTGTTATTGTTAACTATTTATTAAACAAATTTAACAACGGTAAATCTAGTAACCGAATCGTTCTCGCTCCTCGTATCGTTGGTATCGGGTATTCGGTTCATGAGTCTAAATGAAACTTTTTAAATTTATATTTTACACCTTTTTGTAGAAATTTTTTTGTTCTTCGTTTTCTGTGCTTAAGTAATACATTATTACGCACGCACACACACGCGTCCATATATTCCTAGAATTGTGACCAATACTTGTTTGTGATAAAATGCAGCTCCTAAGTACTGCAACACTTGAATAAATGTCGTGGCATGAATTTAAATATGCATATTGTCATTGCTAATACTCCCCAGAAATAATAAATTGCTGCATATCAACAATGAAAGTTCAAAAGGCAGAAGTATATGTAAGTCAAAGTAAAAAAAAGTAAAGCCAAATCTTCTTTTTATACAGTATTAAAAATAGCTGCACGTGATTTGTAAACTAACTGGTAAACTAATTAATTTTCGATGAATTTCAACATTATCCTAATAATTATAAATTATATTGCACGGATTCCTCTTAAACTAAACGCGTAAACGTAATTCCTCATCTCTCGAAATAGAAAGCGTTATCATTGGAATAAAATCACGCATCAAGTCGGGCGAAGATAAAGGCGAAAAAATGTTCGAAAAACCATATTTTACTTCAACATGTCGGAACAAAAATAGCATACAACATAAGACAACAATTACAGACTACAAAATAAAAAGTCTTTGGCATGGAGAAACAATCCTCAGCGATCTCCTTTTCCGTGGCTATATCCGTGTTTCTTTCCATGGTGATGACCACCCTTCTTGCCATAATGTTCGTGATGATCATGGTGCTCCTCGTGGCCATGTTTCCCATGATGTCCCTTATGGTCCTCATCATGATGTCCTTTATCATGGTGTCCCTTTTTCCCGTGATGATCTTCGTGATGCCCAGAATGATGGTGGCCACCCTTCTTGTGGTGTCCCTCTTTGCTGCCATGATGCCCGTGATGATGTCCGTCCTTCTCATGATGTCCTCCCTTGTGATAGTCATCATAGAACTTGTGCTCCTTGTGGTACTCGTCCTTGTGAGCCTTATGATGATACCCGCTCGTCTTGTGCCCCTTCTTGTGGCCCTTCTTCTCGTCAAACTTCCCTCCCTTGTGGCCATGTCCGTGTTCATGATGTTCCCCATGTTCGCCCTTCTCATCGTGATGCTTCTTCTCGTGGCCGCCATGTTCCTCATGGTGTCCATGATGATCCTCCTTATCGTGCTCCCCATGCTCGCCCTCGTGGTGGTGTTCATCTCCCTTGTGGCCTTTCTCCCCCTTCTCGTCGTGGTGTTCATGGTGTTCCTCGTCGTGCTTCTTACCACCGCCTTTCTCCTCGTGGTGCTCGTGCTCCGACGCAGCGGCCTCCAGGTCCACGTCGCGACGCTGGCGCCGCCACCCGACTTCTCGCGCGAAGCTTGTACATAGGTACGCCACGAGGAGGACCACCACCGCGTAGCGAGCCCTGCATGTTCCGACAGCCATGTTGAGACCTCCGAGCGACGGCTTAGACTGACTTAACCCACCACAGACGCCATTTATAGTATTCCTCGCCTCACGAAATTCGGTTTCCCTTTCGAGCGGGGCCCACGACCAGTCAGGTGGCACGCGACGTCCACCTCGTCGTCCTCTTACTCTCCACTTATCCGCACAGTGATACCGCTTTTTACAACGCCTAAAAAGACCAGTGGAGCCGTTTTATGTAACGCTTAACCAAGATTACATAAATAAGGTTAAGTGGAGGTTCTAGAACCCCTTGGGGAGCCATAGGGACCACTCGGGTGGACTGCCGGTTCCTTCTGCTGATCAGCAACAGGGAGTCGGGCACCGGGATCTATTTAAGCTATTGCGTTGCCTTTATCTGTATGTTGTGTCGATCGGTACGAACACTTCACCATTTTTCTTCTAATTGTCATTGTTTCTTTCGGCAGCTCCAGCTTTGCCAAAGGCCAGATCCCTCGCGTAATGGAGTAAGTATAACAATGGGTGCATTCAGAGGAGACAACTGTTGAGCGATCGGTTAGCGCTCATCTGATGAATGGGTTCGTTCACTCAACGTGTTTACTGATCAGGCGCCGTTTTATGTATCACATTTTCTACGCTAAGGTGATATGAAAGTGTGATATATACAGAACAAAAAGTGAAAATATTGATGACTTTTCTCCAAACTGGGTGGACTGAATTATCTGAAACTTCAACACGTCGTTATGGAGGCCCTAAGGAATGACGCGCTGCTCATGAAATTCCTTTTTTTAAACAAAATGTTGTACTCATCTCGGACAAGGAATGAAAAAGATATTTTAAATTTCTCTATATGTTCTAGAGGGATTAAAATGGACGCGATGTACCGAAAGTGATTGTTTCACTTTGTACCGTACCTTCTACCATATTCATCAAAAGGGGCAGTGAACAGTTTCACCGCTCATACATATTAATACCGCATTAAATAATAAATAATGATTATGAAATTTCCATCAATAACAGAATGTATACGGAATACAATGCGGAATTAATTACGGCAGGTAATTAAATAACAGGATCCCGATGTCCTTAAGGTCAACTGAATCACGCCGAGGAACTTGATCGACGTCGGTAAAGAAGATCTTTCTAAGTGCCTACGTTGACGACGTTGGTTTTTATATTGACAGCCCTGTCGAATTATATTGGGTATTGTACTAAATGGCATACTCCGCCTGTCGTTTTCATATATTAATTATAAATAAATCGAAGTAAAACTTCAGAAATCCACTGGATTCATGGTTTCTGAGGCCCTAATTCACTGCAGAGGGACACCATGCGCCATCTGCGATTTCCATATCAACTAAATGTTCACTCCGACACCTCGTACTACCATTGTTTCAGCATAGAAGCGCATAAGACACTTTTTTTGCCTTTATCCCCTTCAAATGCGAGTTTCTCGATTACCAGAGTGTTCCAAATTGTCGTACAATTGTCCTGGCCCTTTCGTATTTTATATTAGAGCCTTCAGTAATTGTATATCGATCGAAATATGAGAGCTCGGCGCCATTTTGATTCTGGTTTGGGCGGCTAAAGAATTTTTGTCAAAAATGAAAATTTTGATAGTGTCAGGATAATTCCTAGGTGCTCATGAGTCATGCATCAAAGTTGCAAACAGTTCTATCCATTACACGTAAAAAGTAGCGTCTTAATTAAATCGACTAATTTCAGGGGGGGTTCACTTTTCAAAATTTGAGGTTTCTCTCAAAAATCCAAATTTTGAATGTGTGATAATTCCTAGGTGCTCACGAGTTATGTGTCAAAGTTGTAGACAGTTCTATCCAACACCCTTAAAAAGTAGTCTTATTTAAATCGACTGATTTGAGGGGGGGTTCACTTTTCAAAATTTGAGGTTTCTCTCAAAAATCCAAATTTTGAATGTGTTAGGATAATTCCTAGGTGCTCACGAGTTATGTGTCAAAGTTGTAGACAGTTCTATCCAACACCCTTAAAAAGTAGTCTTATTTAAATCGACTGATTTGAGGGGGGTTTGACTTTTCGAAATTTCAGATTTCTCTACAAAATCCAAATTTTGAAAGTGACAGGATAATTCCTAGGTACTCATTCCTAGGGTTCCACTTAACCTTAAAAATCAAGAGGCCATTCGGTCCACCTTTGACTTTGAAAGACAGGGACGAAGGGAGAAAATTGGATTATGCGGTGAAATCGAAAATCAGAGCATATTGCGTTAAGCGAAACAATCGGTCGATGGGCATAGCGAAAGAGGGGAATAATATCAGATTCAATTATTGTCTGCATTTCCCAATCGGCGCACAACAAAGGAAAAGAAGTAGAGCCCCGTGAATAAAAAAAAAAAAAACATGAAACCGCGGCGGATGACCACCACGATTAATAGAAATCCAACCGCGGGCAGATCAGACTTATTAGTCCGGAATTCCGCGTATCAGATTCCGCAATTGGAGCCCATTAAACCGCAAATTATTATCGCGAATCGGGCTAAAAATTAAATCAAATTTCCCGGAACCGAGTGCACTCCTGATAAGAGACGCGCTGGTGGTTTTCCGAGCGAAGGATTTCGGTTTAATTCAATTTCTCTTGGTAGAATATCGATAGAGCACATTTTTGAAAAAAGTACCTACGCTCTGATAAACTTTAAAAAATATACCTAGAAGAATTACGGAGCAGGTTTAATTTTTGTTAAGTTTCTACTATTTTAATTCAAATTTCCTCTCCTGATAAGAGGATTTCGATTTAATTCAATTTCTCTTGCTAGAATATCGGTAGAGCACATTTTTGAAAAAAGTACCTACGCTCTGATAAACTTTAAAAAATAAACTTAGAAGAATTACGGAACACGGTTAATTTTTGTTCATTTTCTACTATTTTAATTCAAATTTCTTATCCTGATAAGAGACGCGCTGGTGGTTTTCCGAGCGAAGGATTTCGGTTTAATTCAATTTCTCTTGCTAGAATATCGGTAGAGCACATTTTTGAAAAAAGTACCTACGCTCTGATAAACTTTAAAAATATACCTGGAAGAATTACGGAACAGGTTTAATTTTTGTTAATTTTCTACTATTTTAATTCAAATTTTTGTTCATTAAGGGGATGTGGAAGTGGCATCTATGGGGTCAATTGTTTATCAAACTTTTTTCGAAATAGAATTTATCGAATCGTTTCAATCTTTACAACCTGATTGTGGAGACTAAGTCCTGATGCCTATGAAATTTCATTTTTTTTTAAATTGTCAAACTGTCTATAAAGAAATTTTTAAAAACTGAAATTTCATGAGTGTCAGGACATTACTTACAGCCTCCATATTTTCATTGTAAAGTTTGAAAAGATACCAATTTGGAGATTAGTTAAATGCAAACGGTGCGATGAAAGTTGACAACTTCGATATGTTATGAAATGCCTCAAATTGCGAGAAATGATCGTAGACCCCACCTCCATCTGTGTGTAATAAAACTCATTTATTGTAAGAAACAACAAGTATAACAATGTATAAAGAACGAAGATCTAAGTGCTACGCATCTGTACAGGTAACAATTGCGACGTCAGTAATAGAAAAGAAACAATATTGCAACAACAACATTGGTTGTACGAGAAATCCAAGTCCTGTCCAAGGTATCACGTCCCAGGTCCCGCCATGTTCAGCCCTTGTGCCCTTTGCTGTAGCCATGTTTCTTCCCATGATGATGACTGCCCTTCTTCCCATACTCTTCATGATGACTATGATGCTTTTCATGCCCCTCCTTGCCATGATGCCCCTTGTGATCCTCATCATGATGTCCTTTATCGTGATGTCCCTTTTTCCCATGATGCTTATCATGGTGTCCAGAGTGATGATGTCCGCCCTTCTTGTGGTGGCCCTCCTTCTTCTCATGATGTCCATGCTGTGAGCCATGCTTCTCATGATGTCCTCCCTTGTGGTAGTCGTCATAGAACTTGTGCTCCTTGTGGTACTCGTCCTTGTGGAACTTATTGTGGTACCCCTTGGTCTTGTGCCCCTTCTTGTGTCCCTTTTTCTCCCCAAACTTCCCAGCCTTGTGTCCTTTCTCCCCTTCGTGGTGTTCCCCATGTTCCTCGGACTCCTCATGGTGCTTCTTCTTCTTCCCGCCGTGCTCCTCATGGTGTCCTTGGTGATGTTCCTTCTCGTGCTCGCCATGCTCCCCTTCGTCGTGATGATGGTGGCCCTTGTAACCCTTCACGTCCTTATCCCCGTGTTCCTCGTGGTGGTCCCCGTGGTGCTTGTGTCCACCGCCAGACTCCTTGTGCTGGTCGTGCCCGCTGGCGGCCACCTCCAGGTCACGTGGCTCGCTCGGCGCCGCTGATTGGTCCAGGGTCCCGTCACGTGGCTCCCGGGGACCAATGGGCGAGTGGAGGCTCCCCTCCACCAGAGCGCGCCTGTTTCGAATCCTGTCCCGCGCCACACATTGCTGCGCCGTCAGCACCACACACAACACTGCGACCAACAAGCTGAGCGGACGACCTCGACCCATCTCGGTGGACAACCATTCGATACTGATGACCAAACCTACGCTGGCCACACTTAAATATTCTTCTGCACACACTTCCGGGCCAGCCATCCCCGCAACTTACCACTTCCGTCCCCCTCACTTTCCAGGGACCACGCTGTCGATCAACGTCATTCTCCGCCGCTACTCCCTTTCACACTTTCACGAGATGCCTGAGTTGTCACCATTGTGGAGGCCAAGAAGTGGCCGCAATCGATTCAGCTGTTGCGGCTGATAGGAGACTGCGACCGCGACCGGCGTTACGCTGCCGACCAAGGAGGCGCTGCGGTCGCGATTGCTGACACCTTACGTGATTGCACACATTCTTGGGGCCACTTGAAAGTGGATTAGGAAGAGGGTTGAGAAAGAATTTTCAAAGCCGGCAATGTCACTTTATTGTTACGATCGAGAGCGGTAGGCAACTCTTATTAGCTCAAGTGTAGCGGTCATGGGTATTTAAGATCATTGGGAAGTACTTTTTGGGCAATTGCTGTTACACATTGTATAACGGTACCATTATCTTGTAACTTATTGTCACATGGCCATTTTTCGGTTTAGTGGTGAATATACTGGTTAAGAAGATATTGTAAATGTGTAATTGAAATGTGTACATTTTCGTTTCAGTTTAAAGGGTTGGCCTAACCCCAATGTTGGTGTTTCTAGTTCATCTCTATGACTGATCCTGTTAATCCATATCCATGGTTCATCAATTTTATGAAATATATTCGTTGGATTCTAGTTTTGGGCACGTTTTACGCGTTTGGTCTGACTTTGAAGTGTCCAGGTGTAATATGAGTGGTATAAAGCGCTGACCTAACCTTACTGTTGGAGTTTCTAGTTCATCTCTATGACTGATCCTGTTAATCCATATCCATGGTTCATCAATTTTATGAAATATATTCGTTGGATTCTAGTTTTGGGCACATTTTGCGCATTTGGTCTGACTTTGAAGTGTCCAGGTGTAATATAGGTGGTATAAAGCGCTGACCTAACCTTAATGTTGGAGTTTCTAGTTCATCTTTTGGACTGATCCTATTAATCCATATCCATGGTTCATCAATTTTATGAAATATATTCGTTGGATTCTAGTTTTGGGCACATTTTGCGCATTTGGTCTGACTTTGAAGTGTCCAGGTGTAATAAAGGTGGTATAAAGCGCTGACCTAACCTTACTGTTGGAGTTTCTAGTTCATCTGTTTAACTGATCCTGTTAATCCATATCCATGGTTCATCAATTTTATGAAATATATTCGTTGGATTCTAGTTTTGGGCACGTTTTACGCGTCTGGTCTGACTTTGAAGTGTCCAGGTGTAATATAGGTGGTATAAAGCGCTGACCTAACCTTACTGTTGGAGTTTCTAATTCATATTTTGGACTGATCCGATTAATCCATATCCATGGTTCATCAATTTTATGAAATATATTCGTTGGATTCTAGTTTTGGGCACGTTTTACGCGTCTGGCTTGACTTTGAAGTGTCCAGGTGTAATATAGGTGGTCGCGTTTATCCACGCCCTGTCTAATTTGGGAACGTTTAATCGCGCTAAAACCGCGGCGCCATAAATCGCCGCTTCATAGATGCGTCGTCGTGTCGGCCATTTGGAAAAGTGCAATTTATCGCCTTTTTACGGAATGTCAGTGACATTCGTATCGTCGGGGAAGCTGCGATGTCCGAAACCTGATGGTTTACAAGCGCCGACCTCGTCCTCTGGGAATTTATTACTCTACCCGCCCCGACTGATGGAAGCGAAACAGAGAATGATAATTCCATGATAATTCATTTCCCTGAATAATTTCGAGTATTGTGATATGCAAGGACTTCTGAGAGAAAATGGAGTCTCTTTGAAGTAATCCGGTAAAGTGGAGGCCATTATTATTTATAGGGTCAGATCATTGTTTGTGACATAGGCGAGACAAATAGTCATAAACAATTATTCAAAATAAATGTCTCATGGGAATAAAAAATTGTCATAAAATGTGTGCAATGGTGCTTAGCTCATTGTTTGTGACATAGCGACCAAAATGGTCATAAACAAATACTCAAAGTGGATGTCTCATGATAATAAAAAATCATGAGAAAATTTGTGCAATGATAGTTAGATAATTGTTTGTGACATAGGCGAGAAAAATAGTCATAAACAAATACTCAAAATGGATGTCTCATGATAATAAAAAATCATGAGAAAATTTGTGCAATGATGGCACCCTTAGTACAATTAAACTCGGACAAATCGAAGTTGAATAATTCTTTTTCTAACTCATAGGCGAAGAAATTATAGTTTATATGTTCCAGAACAAAAATTAAAGGTTACTCTCTACTAAATTAATACATTGTCATGTGTATATAATACAATAAATTAGTGAATTTTATTTATTATCAACCACGGACATTGTCGTTCCTTAAATTTATGGTAAGCAGTTTATCATATTTCGGAACGTGTTCATACAGCTTTGTATTAATATTCCTTTAATTACTAGATCAATTCTTCATCATGATTTATACAAGACCGGAAAATGGAACTATTAAGGACCCATTTCCAAGATTAGTATTATCAAATCAGAGATCCGGCATCAGCCTCGGGATTTCTATTACCGGGAGTTAGATTTGCATAGTGATCGACAATCGATAGATTGTCCATTGATGACATTGAATCAAAATTATACAGCCGATCTCGTGCACCTACATATATACCGAATGGAGCAGACATATTATCTCTGTACCTATTATCGACGTAAGGGCGAAATTCATGGAAACGTGCACGCTATAATGGACCGAATGGTGAATGTGTATCCATTGCACTTTTTGTAGGAATGGTGCTAGGAATTTTATAGAAATTGAACTGACGTTCAATTCTACTTTTTCTATTAAGGGAATACTACATTTTCATGTATTCAAAATTTAATTGGTATGCTTTTATTAATTAGTATTAATAATAAATTGGCAAGTACTTGCATTGCAACGATTGCACTTTTTGTACGAATAGTACTAGGAATATTATAGGAATAGAACTTACGTTCAATTCCACTTTCTCTATTAAGGAAATACTACATTTTCATGTATTGAAAATTTAATTGGTACACTTTTATTAATTGGTATTAATAATAAATAAGAGAAACACTAAATATCACGTAACTTTCAAATGTATCTTTCACTTTAATTCCTTCAATCTAGAATATGTTAATTCCGGAATGTCTAATTTATCTCAAAACAAAATATAACATTAACATTTCCATTAACAAACAACGATACAAGGCGATTAAAAATATCAAACAACCTGATCAATGCGCCGCAATTTTCATGAACAGTTTAAGTCCATACAAGGAAATACCTTTTAACGGCGATAATAATATGACAAATAACATAATTACATTTTCTTTTATTGCTTAACCCCTGTAGCGCTTTTAAATTCATATACGTCCTATGGAATTGTTTAAAAATATCTGGTCGTCCTCCTGTACAGCGCCTAATATAAATTCAGCCAACGGAAAGATCGAAACCCACCGCCAGTTTACTAATGAAATTGTTCCCTAATTTTAGTCGGGAGCTTTCCCAGCATTTTCCGGCAGTTTCCTTGTCATGCTGGACTCCGATTCCTGTCACGAAACTCAACGACACCGAGAATGCGACCTTCGGAAACGTGATCAGCCTGAACATTGGTGCACAAGTTGCTGGGAAATAAGGCTGAAACGGTAGAAACAAAAAATCGCCATTTGCAGTTCCCCCTGCAATTGATTCTTCTCTTCGACGCACAATTTACTTTAATTTCTACTTCCGTTCAATTGCTTCGATTAGGTGATTTTCCATTCTGAGGTAAAACTTCTTATGCGGCGCACGAGCTTTCATTTGAAGAGGAAAATGGGGGAAAAGATGAGATGTAACGAAAAAGTGTAACACATTGGAATGTATCTCTTCGCTGCACGCGTGTATATATTATAGTTTATGGTGTTTCGACGAGTCGAACTGGAAAAGATGAGATGTAACGAAAAAGCGTAACGCGTTGGAATGTATCTCTTCGCTGTACGCGTGTATATATTATAGTATATAGTGTTTTGCGGGGTCGAACTGGAAAAACGTGTAAATAAACTTTATATAGTAAAATTTCTTATGCAGCGTCCAGGCTTCATTTGAGGAGGAAAATGTTGGAGAAGATTAGATGTAACGAAAAAGCGTAACGCATTGGAATGTATCCCCTCCATGTACGCGTGTATATATTATAGTAGATAGTGTTTTGCGGGGTCGAACTGAAAAAACGTGTAAATAAACTTTATATAGTAAAACTACATGTGCAGCGCCCAGGCTTCATTTGAGGAGGAAAATGCTGGAGAAGATTAGATGTAACGAAAATGCGTAACGCATTAGAATGTATCTCTTCGCCGCACGCGTGTATATATAGTATATGGTGTTTTGACGAGTCGAATTGGAAAAACGTGTAAATAAACTTTATATAGTAAAACTTCTTATGCAGCGTCCAGGCTTCATTTGAGGAGGAAAATGCTGGTAAAGATTAGATGTAACGAAAAAGCGTAACGCATTGGAATGTATCTCTTCGCCGCACGCGTGTATATATAGTATATGGCGTTAGGGAAGAAAGGGTTAAGTGGGGTATTTACAACAATTGTATTCAAGTGTAACCACTATAAGAGGCCGCAGAATACCATCGGTAATTAAGTTGCGTGGTTTAGGAGTGAATGAAAAGTCTTGAAAAAAATTGGACGATTCTCTGATTTGGATGCTCAATTCCCATAATTGACACAATTAAATTCAAGTGCGCACAGAGCCGCGTTTGCTCTTTCTCGGCTGGGCGAGTCCGGCGATTGAAGTCATTTAACATTTCGTTTATTCCCCAAGAGGAGACAGGAAACAAAGCTTAACATTAAACGATGAAAAGCGGCCGCTTAATCGGGCCACGCAATCGCGCGCAATTAACAAAACCGAGTAGTGAATGCACTGAGGGGGAAACTTTGCTCGTTATAAATAATTGGAATACAGAAGACCGTCGACGCGGCGCCGCCAGGACATGGCGAATAACCGGGTGCGGCGTTTGCGTGACCAGGGTGCTTTTTCATCGGTGACCACCAGGAATTTTATTCTCCTACGGGTCACCTGGAAGACTTCCTGGAGTCACTGGGGTCGTTGGGATTGTTAGAATTGCTGGAATCACTTCGATTCTTGTTGTCCTATCAGAAGGGATTGAATTTTGATATTAGAAGACGTCGCTGGTTACAAAGATCACCAGTTGAGTCGTTTTCTAGTTTGAGGGACGGGAGTGCTTTTCCATTGGTGACCATCAGGAATTTTATCCTCCTATGGGTCACCTGGAAGACTTCCTGGAGTCACTGGGGTTGTTGGGATTGTTAGAATTGCTGGAGCAGCTGGAATCAGTTCGATTCTGGTTGTCCTTTCAGAAGGGATCGGATTATGATACCGGAAAACTGCTGATTACAAACAAGGACAGTTGAGCCGTTTGTGGTCCCTAGGATTTTCTATTTTGAGGGACGGGAGTGCTTTTCCATTGGTGACCATCAGGAATTTTATCCTCCTATGGATCACCTGGAAGACTTCCTGGAGTCACTGGGGTCGTTGGGATTGTTAGAATTGCTGGAGCAGCTGGAATCACTTCGATTCTGGTTGTCCTTTCAGAAGGGACCGGATTATGATATCGGAAAACTGCTGGGTACAAAGAAAGCCAGTTGAGCCGTATGTGGTCCCTAGGATTTTCCAACTTGCATGACCAGGGTGCTTTTTCATCAGTGACCACCAGGACTAGTGACCCATAGAAGGGTTTACCCTTCGCGTTGAGGCGACAAAGGAGCTTTAATTATTTGATCTTGCGCAAAAATCAGTAGTGGCCTCCCCCGTGTTGGGCGCCTCCTTCGCCTCCGGTGTAGGACTCGTGGGTGCCGTAGGAGTTCCCTTCACCTCCTTCCGTCCCCGAGGAATAATGCTCGCTGTACCCCTCGTCGTGGCCGTAATTTCCGGTTCCGCCGCCCTCGGAGGTGTAATGTCCGTCACCACCCTCCGTATAGCGTCCTGACTCGCCCCCGCCGTCGTAATGTCCGGAATCGTCCTCCGCATAGCCAGCAGAGCCGCCCTCGCTGCTGACGTAGTGGGAATCGGTGCCCGTCCCTGTCGAGAATGCCAAGCGTTTACTTTCCTGGGGAACTGGACCGAATCTTACCCGCGAGTGCCCCTTTGGACAAGAACAAGGGACTTTCGATGTGGAACAGCTTGGAACTTTCAGCTGACCGGTCTTATCCTTTGTTGGTGGAGACCCAGATAGAAATTCATGATCGTCATGTAATGAGGAGAATCGATTTAGAAACAATTCGCTGCATAAAATGTTTGCAACATATGTATGCATAATGCACAATTTGAATAAATGTTTGCGGTAAATTTGCCATTAATTATTTCAGCAATATTTACCGCATACTGGTCATACATCAGATCTTATTTCTTGTTGGTGAAGACCCAGATAGAAATTCATGATCGTCATGTAATGAGGAAAATCGATTTACAAACAATTCGCTGCATAAAATGTTTGCAGGATATGTGTGCATAATGTACGATTTGAACAAATGTTTGCGGTAAATTTGCCATTAATTATTTCAGCAATATTTACCGCATACTGGTCATACATCAGATCTTATTTCTTGTTGGTGAAGACCCAGATAGAAATTCATGATCGTCATATAATGAGAAAAATCGATTTACAAACAACAATGCGATTCGATAACAAGTGATGTGAGAGCTTTCTTTGAGAGCCGATTGTCTTTGATGTCTTATGATAAACAACAATGCGATTTGATAACAAGTGATATGAAAGTTGATTGTCTTTGATGTCATATGACAAACAACAATGCGATTCAACAAGTGATGTGACAGCCGATTGTCTTTGATGTCATATGATAAACAACAATGCAATTCGATAACAAATGATGTGAGAGGCGATTATCTTTGATGTCATATGATAAACAACAATGCGATTCGACAACAAGTGATATAAAAGCCGATTGTCTTTGATGTCATATGACAAACAACAATGCGATTCCACAACAAGTGATGTTCGGCCTTAAAATTGTGACAGTGTTCGGTGATTTCCAGACACTTCCGCTGATTATTGCTTATCATTTAGTAAATGTTTATTGATAATGATGTTTATAAAGTCTGTATTACCTGCTCCTTCGTGGTCCTTTCCATCGTCCCCATCCTTGTAGGACCCACTTTTGGCATGTTTGTCCCCATGATGACTATCACGTCCTTTACCATAGGCAGTTTCCTTTGCGAACAAGTACTTATCACCGTCTTGTTTGTGGAAAGTGTCCAGAGTTTTGTATCCATGGTCGCCCTTGCTGTATGTTCTTTTTATGAATCCCTTTTCGCCATCAGCGTCGTTTCCATAAGTTTTGTAGTAACCACCCTCCTTCACCTTTCCTGAAACAGAAAAATGAACATCCTTAAGGTGATGTGAAAGTGGCGGCGGACAGGTCTCATACTTTTCTCCAAACTGGGTATATCGAATCAGTTAAATTGTACAATATAAATATGGAGAATATAAGGAAGGTCCTAAAACTCATGAAATTTCAATTCTTTTCAAATTTGTTTATAGGTATTTTAAAAATAGTTTATAAAAAATTAAATTTCGCGAGTTTTAGGACCTACCTTAGGGTCTCCATATTCACGTTTCAAAGTATGAAACGATTTGAGACACCCAGTTCGTAGAAAAGTTTCATGAACGATTGAGCTTTCGGATGCCACTTTCACATCCCCTTAAGGTGGAGTGAAACCCCCCTCAAACTAGTCGATTCGAAAAAAAACACTTCTTTTTAAGGGTATTGGACCAAACTGTCTGTTATATTTCGATCAATATACAATTGTCGAAGGCTCCGATATGAGAAATGAAAGGGTCAGGACAATTTTACGACAATTTACAACACTCTGGTAATCGACAAACTCGAATTTGAGTGAGATAAAGGCCAAAAAAGTGTCTTATACGCTTCTATGCTAAAACAATGGTAGTACGAGGTGTCCGAGTGAATATTTAGTTGACATGGAAATCACAGATGGCGCATAGTGTCCCTCTGCAGTCAACTAGGGCCTCAGAAACCAGGAATCCAGAGGATTTCTGAAGTTTTACTTCAATTTCTTTATAATTATTGTACGGAAACGATAAGTGGAGTATGCCATTTCGTACAATACCCAACAGACTTGCTAACACAGTTGTTAATATAAAAATGAACGTTGGCAACGTAGGTATTTAGAAAAATCTGGTTAAAAAATTTGTTCTTCTTGGTGAAGCTGCCAAATCGCCTCTTGACATGCCTGACTTTGTATGGTGGTTTCACCCCCTTAAAGTGTTTAATGGCAGATAAAAAAAAATACCTGTCGCTTATTTTTCAGTCTACTATAACATATTATAAAAGAAATGAAATCGGAGAGATCGACCTGGGATACCCTCCTTGTTAGAGGATGTTTAAACGTACTTAATGGTAAAAAAAACCGCCTCCAAGGGCGATGATCTCGATACCCACCGGAAGCGTTCTTCATCTTCTTCTTCGGCGCAGCGCCGGCCTCGAGGAGGTCCCTAACTTCAGTGGCGACGCCACCAGATGGCGCTGGCTCCCTCACCTCGCGTCGCAGCGACCCCACAGTGGCGACGTCGTCCGCGAGAACCAAGTACTCGTCGTAAGTGGCGGGCCTGGCCAGGGCAAGACCCACCAGGACTAGGATTCCCAGGAGTAGTCGCATGGTGTCGTCGTGCGCGAAACCTCTGACTTTTCTTCCTCTATTCCCCGTGGCAATGTCGTTATTCCCCGTTCATCGGCTTTTAAAGCCTCTTATGAGCTCCCACCAGGATCGCGATTGCCTAGTTCGGCCGCGTTTCGCAAGCGGCGCTGCGTTCGCTCGCCTGCTACTCCTTTTGACGATTAATTACACCTCACTCACTGGGTCCAGTTCTAAGGAGAGTTGCTTTCTTAAGGTGAAGTGAAACCCCCTTCAAATCGGTCGATTTAAACACAACACTTTTTTTAAGGGTATTAGACCAAACTGTCCGAAACTTTGACACGTCACTCCTGATCATCTAAGAATTGTCCTGACACGTTCAGAATTTGGATTTTTAAACAAAATTTGTTTAACTCAGCCTACACCAGAACCAAAATGGCGTCGAGCTCTCATATTTCGATCAATATGCAATTATCGAAGGCTCTGATACGAGAAACGAATAGGTTAGGACAATTTTACGACAGTTTACAATACTCTGGTAATGGAGAAACTCGCGTTTGAGCGGGATAAAGGCAAATAAAGTGTTTTATGCGCTTCTATGCCAAAACGATGGGAATACGAGGTCTCGGAGGGAAAATTTAATTGACCTGGAAATCACAGATGGCGCAGGGGGTCCCTCTGCAGTCAATTAGGGCCCCAGAAAGCACGAATCCAGAGGATTTCTGGAGTTTTACCTCGATTTCTTTATAATTATTGTACGAAAACGCCAGGTGGAGTATGCCATTTGGTACAATACCCAATATAATTCGACACAAGTATCAATATAAAAACCAACGTCGACAACGTAGGCATTTAGAAAAATCTTCTTTATGGACGTCGATCAAGTTCCTCGACGTGTTTCACTTCACCTTAATTGCCGCTGGGAATTCTTTCTAAAGACAATGAAGATTACTTGGTAGTTGCGGTTTCGGACTGAGGAATTATCGGGAAGGATCCTTACTCCTGGTGGGGAGTGGAACTAAAGTAGAGGGAGCCACCATCTTGGTTGTCGGAATGAAGGGGCTGCTCGAAGCTCTTAGAGATTACGTAGTCCCAGGCGTGGGGTTCAATTCAATGCAGGTTTTTTTATTGTTCGTTATGCACGTGCAGGATGGTGACGCTAAGTGTTATTAAGGTGATGTGAAACACGGCGAGAAATTTCATCGACGTCGGTAAAAAAGATTCTTCTAAACACCTACTGATACTTTTCCCCAAACTGGGTGCACCGAATTGCCAGAAACTTTAACACGTGATTGTGCAGGCCCTAAGGAATAACGCACTACTCGTGAAATTTCATTTTTCATTTTCTCAATTAAAGAAAAAGAAAATTAAGGGGTGAGCCACCCCTCACAGGCTTTACTTGGGATGGTGGTTTCACCCCCTTAAAGTACTTAATGGCAGATGAAAAAAAATTCCGTTCGCTTAGTTTTTAGCCTACTGTAACATAATATAGTGTACTGTAATTAATATAGGCTACTATAACATATTATAAAAGAAATCAAATCGGAGAGATCGACCTGGGATACCTTCCTTATCAGAATGATAGCTCAAAATAAACGTTTTGAAAATATTGCAAAAATTTGTCGTGTTTTTTAATACCAAATGTCATATCAGGGATATCCATAAGCAATTCATTTTTTTAATGTCTAATACTCCTGTCAGAGTGATAGCTCAAAATAAACGTTGTGAAAATATCGAAAAAATTGTTTTATACCAAATGTCTTATATTAGGGGTACCCATAAGCAATTCATTTTTTAAATGTCTAATATACCTTTCAGATTGATAGCTCAAAATAAACGTTTTGAATATATTGCAAAAATTGTTTAATACCAAGTGTCTTATATCAGGGGTACCCATAAGCAATTAATTTATTTAATGTCTAAGACACCTCTCACTAGGAAAGTATCCCAGGTCGATCTCTCCGATTTGATGTCCTTTATAATATGTTATAGTATACTAAAAACCAAGCGACAGGTATTTTTTTTATCTGCCATTAAACACTTTAAGGGGGTGAAACCACCATCCAAGGTAAGGCATGTCAAGGGGCGATTTGGCAGTTTCATCCACAAGAACATATATTTTTTTTAATTTTTTAATTCCAAATGTCATATCAGAGGTACCCATAAGCAATTAATTTATTTAACGTGTAAGACACCTCTCACTAGGAAAGTATCCCAGGTCGATCTCTCCGATTTGATTTCCTTTATAATATTTTATAGTATACTAAAAACCAAGCGACAGGTATTTTTTTTATCTGCCATTAAGCACTTTAAGGGGGTGAAACCACCATCCAAAGTAAGGCATGTCAAGGGGCGATTTGGCAGTTTCATCCACAAGAACATATTTTTTTTTAATTTTTTTAATACCATATTTTGTTATTGATATTTTGTTAACGTCTCTCTTTCAAAATAATACCTCGGGCTGATCTTTTGCCCGGATTTACGTAAAGGCGGCACCGGCCGAGACCAGGAAACTCCGACGCCACCTTTCGGAGATCCGTGGAGTTATCCAGCATGGATTTGCTGCAAAACCGATCGACATGCCGATTGTTGCGGACGACAACGTCGACCCGCACGAGCGACTCCGCTTTCCACGGATCTACAAAAAGCCGATATCTACGACGCAACCTTTTGATGTAACTGTATCGAGAGGACGACGATCTCGAAAGATCCCCGAGAGTGTAGCTAAAACGATCTACGGTTCGAAAACCGAGAATAACCTCCCACTGTTTCATAACAGCTGTATAACATGGAGATAATAAATATAACCCTAGTAGCACTAATATTTATTCTACCAGATATATATTTTTGATGACGCAGTAGGTCCTAAGGGCCAAGATCAATTAGGGCATCAGAAAGCATGAATCCAGAGGATTTCTAGAGTTTTACTTCGATTTATAATTATAATTATTGTACGAAAACGACAGATGGAGTATGCCATTTGGTACAATACCCAATATAATTTGACAGGGCTGTCAGTATAAAAACCAACGTTGACAACGTAGATGTTTAGAAAAATCTTCTTTATCGACGTCGATCAAGTTCTTCGACGTGTTTCACTTCACCTTAAAATTGAAACTTTTTGAAATTAATTGAGTGGTGCATTACCATGAGTAGTGCACGTAGTGAAAATTCGATGAAATTGAAATTCAGAATTGAAACTGTTTGTAATTAATCGAATTGTGCATTACAATGAGTAGTGCACGTAGGGGCAATTCGATGAAATTGAAATTCCGGAAAGTGGAAATCTTCTTTATAGACATCGATCAAGTTCCTCGACGTGTTTCACTTCGCCTTAAAATTGAAACTTTTTGTAATTAATCGAATTGAGCATTACCACGAATAGTGCACGTAATGGCAATTCGATGAAATTGAAATTCTGGAAAGTGGAAATCTTCTTTATAGACGTCGATCAAGTTCTTACACGTGTTTCACTTCACCTTAAAATTGAAACTTTTTGTAATTAATTGAATTGAGCATTACCACGAATAGTGCACGTAATGGCAATTCGATGAAATTGAAATTCTGGAAAGTGGAAATCTTCTTTATAGACGTCGATCAAGTTCTTCCACGTGTTTCACTTCACCTTAAAATTTAAACTTTTAGTAAGTAATTGAATTGTGCATTACCACGAGTTGTGCACGTAGTGAAAATTCGACGAAATTGAAATTCAGAATAGAAACTTTTTGTAATTAATCGAATTGTGCATTACCACGAGTAGTGCACGTAGGGGAAATTCGATGAAAATGAAATTCAGAATTGAAACTTTTAGTAATTAATCGAATTGTGCATTACCACGAGTAGTGCACGCAGGTAAAATTCGATGAAAATGAAATTCAGAATAGAAACTTTTTGTAATTAATCGAATTGTGCATTACCACGAGTAGTGCACGTAGTGAAAATTCGATGAAATTGAAATTCAGAGTTGAAACTTTTTGTAATGAATCAAATTGTGCATTACCACAAGTAGTGCACGTAGGGGCAATTCGATGACATTGAAATTCAGAATTGAAACTTTTTTTAATTAATCGAATTGTGCATTACCACGAGTAGTGCACGTAGGGGCAATTCGATGAAATTTAAATTCAGACTTGAAACTTTTTGTAATGAATCAAATTGAGCATTACCACGAGTAGTTCACATCGGAGCAATTCGATGAAATCGAAATTCGGGAAAGTGGATATCAACCGTGGCAAACCGTCCCATTGTGGCGTTGGTATCCGGACTTTTTTACGGGACAATATCGGTTTCTCTCCAAAGAAACCGATACCGCACCAACAAGAAAAGCCGATTGTCGCCTCAATAAATCAGGAACCACAGACTACCAAATAAATATTTCGTTATTTCGATATCTCCGAGACATGCGGCTCTAATGCGGCATTACATGCAGTTACATTACTTGCGACATTTGCGTCAACCTGTACAATGTTGCAAGATTTGCGTCACACGCGCGGTCATATTTAATTAAAATCTGGCAATGACTTACGATATTTTAAAATACGTGTTAGGGAAAGCATTTAATTTAAATTAATATATACGATTAATATATTACAATATATTACAAACTTAAAGTGTTAATGTTAAAACTGGTATCGAAAGAAAATTGAAACTGGCGTGGAAAGAAACTACAAATTATTATAATATTGATAGAAGGAAAGTGTGTAATTACTAATACATCAAGCTGAAATATTTAGTCAAATTACTTGCGACATTTGCGTCGACCTGTAAAATGTTGCAAGATTTACGTCACACGTGCGGTCATGTTTAATTAAAATCTGGCAATGACTTACGATATTTTAATAGCATATTAGGGAAAGCAATTAATTTAAATTAACATACACGACTTTGAATATTATCAGAATATTCTGATTTCGGTTTTATTCGTTGATTAAATTTATCAGCGCCTTTCATATCACCTTAAGGTGAAGTGAAACCCTTCTCAAATTAGTCGATTCGTATAAGACTGCTTATCCCTTTTTTTTGCA